TTTGCACAATATCCCTCTTTGCATTTAAGCTCATAGCTTCAGCTTTAAAACAATTAGAACAATTAGAAGAATTAGTATTTATTCGGCGTGTTATTGTGTCTTAATTATAGAAGCCCCAAACAGGCTTACATTTTGCTTTCTTTTTTGCACGTGGTGTGGCCGCTATTTTGTGATTGTAGGAGTACTTTATTATTGCTCAGTTAATTTAGTTTGATTTTTGCATTCATGCCTTCATCCGTTAATCGTTTCACTAAATTACGCCTGAAACGGCAAAAATTCCTGAATCATCTTGACTTTTTACTTAAATGTAAATGTAAAAAAATTGATCCCCAATTTTATTCAAATCAAATCTAATCAAAAACCTTCGAGTCGCGTTTCAAGAATTCTGTTAAATTGCAAAGCTTGCCTTACTTCGGTCCGTGATAAGGGATACCACGTCAACAATTGTCCAAAATTGAACATGAACTCTATAAGCTTCATCTGGAACTCGCTAAATCATATCCAAACTTCACTGCCCCTTGAACAAAAGTCTTGGTCTAGAACGGAGAATGCAGTTAACAGTCATAAACACACCCTTGCAGTTAAATTCGAAAAAAACTTTTTTACAGTCTTCCAGTTCAAGTAGTTCAAAAAAATCTTCCCATTGTAAACATCAAGCCAATAGTTAATATTTCTAATGTTAGTCTTTCAGAAGAACAAGAGAGAATTCTAAAATATAATTTTAACTTCTCACAAAACCTGTAAACCCTCGATTCCAAAGATTTTGGCTCCTATCGAAAAAGCTTTCAAGTTCAGTAAAGTTTCAGATTCACAGAAAGAAATGATTAGGCATCTTATCGCTCATAATGTGAAATTCAATACTAAACCTTTGAAACCAAATCTAACTGCGAGAGAAAGAGCTACAATGCGCGAAATTCATTCTAACCCGGATATTATCATTTCAAAGGCCGACAAAGGTGGCCAGATAGTCGTCATGGATAAGAACACTTACATCGATGGTGTCACTAAACTCTTAAAACGAAGGAACCATATAATCCGATCCCTAAAGATCCTTCACCTTCGGACTATCCAAAATAAAAAACTGCGATCAAATCTTCGCAAATCATTTCAAGCAACTTAAAAACATTCGCTTATCCCATCTGTTGCGAATTGTGCCAGATTATATGCTCTTCCCAAAATTCATAAAAGTGGTATTCCTTTCCGCCCTATTGTATCAAATTTAGGTACTGCCTCGTATCCTTTAGCTAAATATTTAGTTTCTAGATTTTCCCACTCTATTAGACAATAACATTTACACCATAAAAATTCATAGAGTTTGTAAAAAAGGTTAAAAAACATTTCTCCTAGTAATTTACTCATGGTTTCTTTTGATGTAAAAATCATTATTCACCAATGTCCCAGTGGAGGGTGCATTAAGATGTCTAGAAACCAGACTTCGCGAATTTCATTTCTCTTGCATCGAAATTGAGGAGCTAATTTCTCTCACTCAACTCTGTTTGAAACAAACACATTTTGTTTTCCAAAATAAATATTACAAACACAAACCTGAGGGATTAGCCATGGGAAGCCCCCTCAGTCCCATCCTGGCTGATATCTACATGCATTATTATGAATCAAAATTGTTTGAAACCTTAAACTTCCCGGCATGGTTCCGCTACGTAGACGATACTTTTACCCTGTTTGAAGGTAATAAAGATGATTTAAATAAAGTTCTTTTCAACAATGAATTCTATTGATCCTGCTATTCAGTTTCACTTTTGAACTTGAGACTTGCAATTCTTCTTCCGTTTCTCGACATTCTGGTCACACGTAACACATCCAACTTCAGTACTACAGTTACCGTAAACCTTCATCGGTTTGCCTTCCACCACACTTTAAATCATGTCATCCGACTAAACAAAAGTTAGCTTCATTTTATTCCTATGTTTTTCCGTGCTCTTCAAGTTTGCTCCTCCAAACTAGCCCTTGATGAAGAACTAAATTATTTAAAAGCAATAGCTATTGACAGGGGCTTTTCACCCAACATTATAATCAAGCAGTTAAAAAATTCTCATCTGAACACACTAAAAGCCACACTCCTTATTTTAGGAGATTATAAAAATTATGTTGTCATTCCCTTCTTTCCATCAATTAGCTATAAAGTTGCACATATTTTGCAGAAATTTAAAACTTTCGGTTTGGTTATTCTCTCCCATCAATAAAATTCCAACTTCTATACTCAAGGACCCCCATTCCGGATATGAATTGCTGGGGTATTTATAGGATTCCTTGCCAGTGTGGTTTAATTTACATTGGCCAAACTAAGAGAGCCTTAAAATTTCGCGTCAAAGAACATGAGGCATATGTTAGAAAAAAGGAACACAGAAGTCTTCTGTTGCTCAACATTGTTGGTCCGAAAAATCACACTTTCAATTTTTCTGCTGCCAAAATTATTCAAAAAACATCTTCCATTGGAAACTGGATTTTCTAGAGGCATTTCCACATTCATAAAATCTTTCTGTTCTAGTTAACGATCCTAATTCCAATCCAATTTGCCTTCGGCTTTTAGAGAAATTATGTTTTAGTTCTGCTTTCGCCAACAGATGGCGCCACTTGCTTATTCTTGTCCTGGCTTTTCTTTCTTATCTAATCATTATTTCCTATCTTGTTCATTTGCGGTTTGCAGCTGAAGATGATGGTTCGGTAAAACCATCGAAACTAGTCCTGTGAAAATTTTGTAGGTATAACGCTGATTTCTGTTGTTTGACTTCTGAATTAGTATTTATTCGGCGTGTTATTGTGTCTCAATTAGAACTCGTATGAGGCTTACCACAGAATATACAAACATTTTGCTTACCTTTAATGGTTTCATTTGTGCTTACCAGCGCGGCAGTTGTTGCTAAATCTGATTTACCTGATATAACGCTTTTATTAACATGTTTTATAGAACAAGTAAATCCTGACTAAGCTAATCGTATCACTTCTTCAGATTCTACTTCAGGCCTCAAACAGCACATTAGATTTTCAAGGGTTCTTTCAGAATTCTTTTACTGTCATTCTTCGGAGTTTCTACTCCACTCCCAGGCACGTAATATATTCTCAGGTATGCACGACTACACTAAATACTAAATTCTCAAGAAATCAGCAAACGGTTTTCTTTGGTGCATCCTAAGATTTCTAGTTCTCGTAATTTACTTTCTATACTAAACGTAAAGTACTCCTAAGTCTTACGCCATTCTGCCTGCTGCAGCATTCTTCGTAATAAGCCCAATCAAATCTCTTACGTAAATCTGCACCAGAAGGTCTTCTCTTAAGTTCTGCACTCTGGATTAAGTACAAAAACTTATCTTCTGGAACAATATCCGCATCTTCATGAATTTTGGAGCACTGGCTTCAAAAGCCTAAACGTTCTCTTGCATCTTCAGGGAATTTTTTTCAGTTCAAGTTTAGTACACTTCCTGTGTTTATTTTCTTTAGCATCCGAAATCGAAACTGAAGCAATATTTGTAGAACGTTCTGCAAATTCAACGGTCCGATTTTATTCTGACGTTTTTCCATCTTTAAAGCTTTACCATATATCTATATATCTAACGTATTAAATTCGTTCTCAAAATCAGCTCCTTTAGTTTGTTCTAAAACACTGCTTTGAGTACTGTCCAAGCGCTCAAATTTGTCAATGAATTGCCACAACAACACTTGCAATCTCTCAGGATCGGTTCAAGAAGGCAATTTTTCTGCCACAATTTTCGAAGTTTAAACGTAGTATGTTCACTCTTACGTTTTTCTTGTAAAAATTCCATTTTAACAAAACGCCTAAATCAAAACTAATCGAAATCACAAAAATGTCCTGTCGCGTACACAACTAATTTCATTTAATAAAAAATTTTAAATAATAGAATTTTAATAGAATTTCCCCTTTAATTATATATATATATATTAGTATTTTCGGACTGAACCTGTATCTCAAAATTTAGATCATTAGACATTGTCGGGCAGCCCAGTAAAGCCTAAAATCTAGCAAAATGATAATAACTTCAGCAAATTTATTGTATGAAACGTCATTAAAATCAGAGCAAATGTGAGAAGTTATATTGTGTCATCATTAGAGCAATAATACGGATATTAACAAGCACTGTTCTGGCTCTCGTTCACTTGTTTTTTTCTTAACATCTAATTTTACATCCAAGTACTTTGAAAAAGGTAGATGGAAGGAAGAAAGATTAAATGCAGAAGTCTCTAACAATTTCAGTGACTGCCACTGAAACTGTATAAAATCATTGTACTATATTTTTAACTAATAATTTTGCAGAGAACTTTGAAAATTGCTTGTGTTAGAAAAGTGACGAGCTTAACAGAATCTGAGATTACTCACATCATTACAACTTATATTGTAGAATTGTACTTGATTTGGTAATGTTAAGTCATCCAAAACCCTTATAATAATGAAGCAAATTATCTCTATGCCTGAAATAATGACAAAATAGTGAAGCCCCAGCTCGTGGTGATTCAACTAATTAGAAAAGTCAAATCAAAAGTTGAACAGCAGTCAAGGACTGCATAATTAAATGTTACTAAATGCTGGCTCACATAAGATAAATGTTACTCAAAGCTGGCTCACTACAGGGACCTCAAAATCAAAGTGTTCGTAAACTTTATTTTAAATACTCGCTAACTCATGTGCATTTTGGAGATTAATACAGAAAAGAGAAGTTATATTAAAGATCGAAATCATAATAATTGCTTAATTTGAAATATTAATCTTATAATGTTTAAAATTAGGAAGAAAATTGCTTTTTCTTATTTCCACTTTGTGCTAAAGTGAGAATTAAGTAATTTTAGGTAATCAACACTCTTATATTTGCCTTGTATTTCTCAACAACATCATATGAGATTTTACATTAATGATTCATGTTCAGTAACGCCTTTAACTTATCAAGTTTAATTGCAGGAGGGAAGGTACTTTTGTTAAATAATATAAGCGCGTATAGGAAAATGTTGAAGAATAAATAAATAGATGCAACAATAATGCAACAAATTTTAATGAATAAACATTTTATTCGAAAAGAGTATAATATCTAAAATCTAAAAATCTAAAAACATAATTAGCTGATTAAAATGATTAATATATGGTATATACTCGAACATAACATAACTAAAGCACAACAACGAAAATTCCAATATTTCACACTGATTTTATCTTTGTTCTCAATATGAGTTTAGATAATTGCAAATTGAATTTACTGTTAGTTAGACCTGAATTCGACTCTCAAGAAACTACCAGAGTGCATGGATGGTTTTATGATTTTCCAAACATGTAACGTAAAAGGGCCAGTGTTTCTTAGAAATAGTTTGTACAGAAACTTCCCTTACTCTAAGCCTTACATACATGATAAGTTACTTATCATGTAAGTAACCTCACATGATTTCTCTTATTCAAACAAAGTGAAATTGATAACTTGACTTTACTGTCATAGGTTCTTTTAACGCTTTTAATTATATGAATAAATTTACATAGGGAAAGAACAAGCACTTTAATTTTATTCTGTTCTGTAGGTATTGCTTGCAAAATAGAATAGTATCATTTACGTATGTGAAAAATAATAGGCAATCTTATTATCTCTGGCTCTGAGATAATAAGATTGCCTGTTATTTTTCTCTCTTCATTGTGGCTATCTCTGGGTTCATTGTGGAATTTTACTAAATAATGCATTTCAAATGTAAATTCATCATTTCACAATAAATAGAATTTTAACATAATTACTTCTAAATTTTTTAAAAAATAAATCATCTCTGAACCGCCTCATAGTTGGTAGTCAAGGATTACAAGAACAGATAAGGAGTGAGGCATTACTTCCAGAACAGCTCTCAAATCATCGTTAATCCTCTTCCTCATAGTCATCTCTGACGCTCACTATTGGGGGCTCAATGTAATACGACTATAAATAAATAACTGACAGCTGTTGTAGGCGAGATACAGCTCTTTTCAAACTTATTTCCATTCGCATTCTAACATTTTGCTTGAAATTTTTGACGTGGCATTTCCCTAAATTTCAATAGTTTAAAAATTATAACTCGATGGAATGTAAATTTTATAGATAATATAATAATTACCTTAGTGAATGTAATTAATGTGGAAATTTAGCTATAATTTTGATGAGGAATACTTAACTAATAAACTTTACTATTTACAAAGTATATTGCTTACGTTTACTGCCCAATTTGAGATTTTCCCTGAATTATTTATGAAGATTATGGCAAAGTACTGGAAGAAAATGTGTTTAGGTGAAACAACGCTTTGGGGGTAGATTTTGTAAGCGAGACTGGCTCTTATTCACTTTACACATGGGAAAGTCACGGACACGCTCTTGCAACCAGCTCGTTTGCTAGGATTTCATACCGGATATAAATAGCAGTGTTCAGCTTTTTTAACCTTTTGTTTAATGTATTCGATGTCTGGTGAACAATTCTCAATGGGAATTGTATTAATAAAAATTCTTAAAAATACTATTTTGGAAGCAATGATTATTTTAGTTTAAATACTTCTTCAATGAAAATAATATTTTAGGGTATTTTGAGAAATTCTTAGCTATATCAATTCAGAAGCTAATCAACGCTGATTTTTGTTGTTTTACTTCTGAATTGATATTTGGTCGGCGTGTTATTGTATCTTAATTAATTCTTAGCTAGTCAGTTCGTTCTTAAATTGTGAATCATTGTTTATTTAAAGCTAGACAAGAGAAAACAAGTAAAGCTTGCTAATAATGTCTTCTGTTGTTATTTATCGTATTATCAAGGGATTATCTTAACCCCTTCGAAAAGAATGAATCACTTTACGACAGGTTTCAGAACGCGGATCGAATCTTTCTCCTTCACAACAGAGTTTACCAGGTTTCGGTATACACATTTTTTCATTTATTTTGAATAGATAACGAAAAGGTAGTGGTTTACCACGACCGGAGTCATGTATATAATTTAAGCAATCAATGAAATTCCCTTCTTTACACAACTGATAAATTTCTGTAGCATTCATCCCTGCAGCTAACAAAGTTTCGACAATCGCTGGTTGACATTTGGCCGATGTCAAAATTTCGTAATTGCATTCGGCGCAATGCAGGTTCTTGTACAGCTTATTATTTATATAAACAGGGTCTGAATAAGAGTGGCAGAGCTGCGATACAGAATAATTTCTCCAAGATGGAGAGCACCGAAAGATTTCGTCAGTCGAACTGCAAGATCTGAGTTCCAAATTGTCGAGAAAGGTGAAATCATCGTTATGAGCGTAATACTCGCAATGCTGCTGCGTCTGAGAGGTAACCATACTACCGGGATTCTGGTGCTGATCAATGGACCTTGATTCGTTTTCCTCTTTACATCTGAATAAAAAAGATGGAAATAGAACCTAATGATTAATTGTAATCATACATTGCGTTAGACAAATTATATTCAAAGCACATATATAAAGAACCTTATCTTTCAGATACAGGCATTAGTAACTTAAGAGAAAAAAATGAAATGTCAGCTAAATCAGGAATATTCTTACGTTACTCATTTAGGTGAAAGAAAAATATCTTCCTATAAAAGTGCAACAATTTTAAAAAGAACATTGCGCCTCTATGAGGTTAATTATTATTATATTCATTATATTATTAACTGTAATAGAATATTATACTCAGTTCCGAAATCCATTAAAAAGACAGTTTTACTGTCAAATAACACAAATTTATTACATTTGAAAGGACATTCTGCCATCCTATTGTTTCCTTTAAACTACTTTACGAAAGGAAATGTTTGATCGGAATATTAGTTTTATGATGCTGATTTACGTGGGAACATGAGCCTGGTCCGCGTCTCTCGCTTATTGGTTTACATTTTTTCCTGATAACAACCGTTTGTTGGAAATCTAATTAATAGACGTGTAAATTACCTATTACGTCATTGACCATTAAATATAGACCATCAGATATGTGAGACTGATGCAAACAAAGAAATCATAAAGACCGTTACTGGACTGGAAACCCGCCATTTTAGAGGAATGAAAATTAATGAAGATGGTACCGGATCATATAGAACTTGTAGAAACTGCCCCGAAACGGAGATTTCTCCAGAACACGTCTTCACCTCTTCGGCAATACTTACATCTCTGCAAAGCTTAAAGGAATTTCCTTTTCAAGGCTAGCTATATAGTGAAAAGATAGTGGAACTGGCAAAAGCAGTGATTTCCACTCATGGATCCATTTGACTTCTCAAAGAACACGACACCAACCAACTAAGTTATTGACAAATTGTTAAATTTCTTTCACATATTTTATGAAATTAAAAAGCATGCATTGTTATAAATCTAATTATCAGTGATAAAGCTATAATTATAAACAAAAAAATCAAAGAACAATGTTAAGCAAGAATAAGCGCAAATTTGCAGGGCTATAGTTTTGGAGGTTCAACAGAACCTTCTTTTTCAGCTGCAGGAAGAAAACTGATGAAGAGGAAACGTGCTCACTGCATAAAATGGATGGCTACAAGTGATTTAGATGACTATAAATTCATAAATTCAGCATGGTGAAAATTATGGCTAGATATTATTGTAGGCAGAGATTTTAAGGGATTTGACAAGGAGGATTTTTTTTTTTTTTTTTTTTTTTTTTTTTTTTTTTTTTTTTTTTTTTGTTATCTGTGATATTGAGTGTCTAGACGAAACCATGAGTTTGGAAGTCAACATTGAAGATGTGGAGGAGCTACTAGAGATCCACAGAAAAAAGAATTCAACAAGAAATAGCCTAAACACCTTCAGAATCAGTCATATTGGACAAATTACGAGTAAAATTGTAGCCCAGTGAAAGCAAAGCAAAATGGACTGGTGCTAAGATACATAGGAAAAATAAAGAAATTGCACCAGAAATGTGGTTACATTTTACCGAAACGGATTCCTCATGCAAACAATACCGTCTTTTCCTACCATCTTTCGAGGATTTATATTTAATTTAAATAACCAATTTTGTTTAATTTGTTATTCTTTCCTATAAGCATTCATTCCCCTAATTGTCAATGCCAGAATATTTAAATTTGGTAGCCCGCGTAAAGGAATGCAAATTCTACCTTGGGAAAAGAGTTTAAAAACTGAGGTTCAGTAGGAAAGTTAGAGAGAGTTAGGCTATTGCCGTCTCCTCCGTTGCGTGAGCTTGTACTCCCGGAGTTATTGCTGGTTTTACGTGGCATAACTACATTTATTTGCTGCCACTTATTTTCAAAGCGTGTTTAAGAAACAGGAATTATCCGAGGCCTGTAGCTTATTTCTACGACTTGTGCATGTATTCAAACTTTTAGTTTCGTTCTTTGATTTCAGTTACCGCCCAAGAAGAGAGCGTAATGTGTTAGTATCGAGTTGACGCATTGTAAATTTCAAAGAGTCTAATAAAGGGGTACTTTTGACTTTTCTTCTGTGCAGTTACTACTCTTCCAGTTCTCACACAAAAGTTAGACAAGTGGACTCTATAACTTTTTAACTATGCCAAGCACTGTCTTTCGTAGTAGTAAAGTAGAATTAAATTAAATCTTTATATTTATTTTCTTTATAATACTGTGTTTACCTATCGTTGGCAAGAGCCCTAAGCGTCATACAGGTGATAGTACTACTTTGCTCGGATCTCACCCCAATTTTCAATTTTGAAGAAAAACATCCCAGGATAATGTGCCCGAGGTTCTCCCACCTTTCATTTGTTACCACCAACCTCTCGAAAGGACCTTCGGCTCGTCGCATATTTAGAGTGACCCCCGTATCTCAAAAACACTATCAGAAATCTTAAAATGCGTATAACGATGTTCATTTATATCTTCTTGGAGAAAGTTAAATTTCGGTTGAGTATTTTAGGCAGTTTTGAAGTTTAGTTAGGTAAATAGCATATAAAAATTAGTTTGTTTCTTCAGTATGAAATACATCCTTGAGTTTGGATGCATATGTTTCGATTTAAACCCTTACACTCAATCGTATCCTGAAAAATAGATGTTGCTGGAAGATGAATAACTGATCTATGAACTGTAAAATTTCAAATTATCTAATAACTTATTGCATTAAATGTTGAAATAATACTGAATCCTGACGGAATTATATAGAATATAAAAATGAGCAGTTCATATTTCTCATTTTTACAGTGATTAACTACACATTATTTAATTTAAGTTGTTTCTTCTTTACAGATTTATTCAAATTTTAGAAACATAAATCTCGTTAAAAATAAATCAAACTAAGAAAAATCCTAAATTGAAAAAACTAATAAAGATTTTAAAAGTTTATCATGAAATAAAAATAAAAATAACATTCTTCAGGGAGTGTACATGCCAAAATAATTAGGTGTATAAAGATATGAAATTTATTTTTTTTTTTTTATTTCTTAATGTTGAATATAAAATTCTTCTCGTTTTAACAATTTCATTGCATAATTTACAAAGTCGTTTTCAAATCCTTTGTCAATTTCATTAGCGTTTAAAATGCATTTTCAAATGCGTGAAGGTTTGGCTATTATATATTTGTGCTTAACTAATATCAATATGTTTAAAAAACTCTGCTTTTTAATCTACAGGAGGTTTTAGAACCTGTGCACAAAATAATGCTTTAAAATTTAAATAAGTAATCATCTAGCAGCATTCTGCGGATTGTGACTGCTCTCTGTGTAAAAAAATCTAAAGGGGATTTTAAAAGAGCATTTAAAATCCCCTTTAGATTATTTTAAACGATTGTTCTTAAACGAAAAACTTAAATTAAATAATGTATAGTTAATTACTGAGTCGAAACCGGAGTGAATTTAGCAGTTTTGTCGGCTTAATCCAACCATCGTCATCTTTCTTGCATGGAGGAGTAGCAGCCAACGGTTTCGCTGATAACTTATTCCTTCGCATATTTATTCTTCGGTTAAGTTCTATCGTGAACTTAACATCCGTAGAAAATATCTTAGCATGATTCGGATCATAGAATTGCGATCTTCACTAAATTTTCAGAGTTTACGATGGCGTAGAAGATGTTTTCTGCACTTCGAAGGGCCGCTTTTACTGGCTCTTTCATCTGTTGTCGAAAATCATCCACGTTTTTTAAGAGCTTGAAATAGTTCTTTATCATACTTATTATTTTTCGAGTATCCGAAACAAAACAGAACAGCATAAGCTTGATCAACTAACACTAAGCTATGTTTGTTTGGCATAGCGAGAAATGCGTAGCACGAAGTAGGGACGTCACACTAAAGCATGTGGTTAATACCAAGCATTAGCGTCAAGAGCACACAACCTTCACGCATGAAGACCACCCCTCGAATGATGAGATATGCGGATTGCAAATATTGCAGACGCGCATGCCAGAAACTCATATATACCTGCTCCGACATGAAGACCCTATTACAAGCATCTCCAAGCCGAAGCAGCCTGCTCACTACCAAGTATGTTCTGTGAGTTGCCGCCCAGACGGTATAGTGGTTCGGGAAGCCTGACTGCGATACTAAAGATCCTGGATTCGAACCTCAGAGAAGGCAGGGGATGCAAAAATTGTATGTCCCTTCATAGGAGGTAGCGGTGGCGGCCTATTAGGTGCCTCCACAGTAAAATGGCCACCACGTCTGGCCTTAGTAGTGGCCAATGCCGTTATAGGCAAGTGCCCGCCATTGGAGAAAACCGTTTTGTGAATTTGATGTTGAATGTGTCACTAAGAAACTGCTCATGACCCCCATGTTTTAAAACCTCCAGTAACTTGGTGGGGGCTCACCCCGTCTGGAACATTGCCGGCCCTCCAATGTGCCGAGGTGGATCCTCAGAGGGGTGCAGCATTGTTCACTATTTAATCAAACCTAAAAGTTTCGAGACATTTGTCATTAGGAGGTCCGAAAGATTTCCTTGTAAGAAGACTAAGATATTAACTTCTTCAATTTTTAGGATATTTTTTAATCCAACTTATCCTAGACTGTCTGTAAAATCACTTCATGCTTCACGGCCATATTTCTAAAATATCTTCTACAAATTTTATCCGAAAGTACAAAGCATTTTCTTACCTTTGTTCGACATTCCAATAATGCAAATTATAATCTTCGTTGCAAAAAGCACAGAAGATATTTGCGTATGTCAGACCAGAAGACTTACTGGTTACAGGAGGTAAGTGACCAATACCAGAAGTACAGCCAAACTCCATTTCATTCATTTCTGAGGGACAAGTTGATACTGCTTGAAAACTGCCGCTACCGTGCACTTGAAGACAGCTTATCTTTCTTGGCTTCTTAACTGTAATGAAATTCGAGGATATGTTTTTCAAAAGATATTTAATATGTACGTACTATGCATACCTAGCTTCAAAACAATAATCTGTTTTGCACATATACATGCAAGATGAAGAATAATAAACATAAAAAACTAATTCTAATTTATAGTTTCTTAGGTCTCATTTTTTATTTGGTTATTTCCCCTCTCTGTATATTCTGTATATTCTTCCTCTTATATGCTTAAATTCAATATCTGAAAATTGTGGAATTCTGAAAATCTCAAAATTAATCTATTCAGATTTATGCAATCAATTCTAAAAATCTCAAAATTAATCTATTCAGATTTATGCAATCAATTCTAAAAATCTCAAAATTAATCTTGTCATATAAGTCTTGCATAATGGTAATTATGCATGAACTTAGACAACACTAGGACCAATAACAAAATTAAAATTTACAAATTAAAATCTAAACTAGCCAATAGGAATGAATTCAAACTAAACCTGAGTTAGCCCTAATTTAACCTTCCAGTTCGAATCTAAGTATTCCTTTTCTCGTTTGCCTTTGTTGTCAAATTTATATCTGCTGCTTCGCTTTGTGTCACCATGACAATATAATTATAATATGAGTATCTGAAATATGTGCATGAATTCTTTGTTGTGTATACCTCTTCATCGACACATATATAAAGGAAATGAGCTGTGAAACCTAGATCACCATAAATTTACTTCATCAATATCTTCTGCATCCGATTGAAAATTTTTCAGCAGAATGGAAACAGTAATGTCTTCTGCCATCGACAAAAAACATTTCATCATATATATATGCACGATGATCCAAAAGTAACAGAAAAAATAAAAGTTCAGTAAAATTCGAAGAGTACAGACACCAGCAAAATGCGATTTTCACAAAAATGTACAGAAAGATATGGGATTTTATTAATAACATAAACTTTTGCTGCCAGAATAGCTACATTTTTAACGATAGGTACTGTCATAACAGTCCCAGAGAACTAGCATTTCGCATGGGACTGTGGGAAGATCTCATTATCGTTTCCAAGGTATACCCTTGCAAAACCACGGTTTACGGAGAACACGTTAATGAGTTTCCTGGGAAAGCGAATTGTGAGCGAGAGATTATGGTCACCATACTCTTCGGACTTCTCGATGGGCGATTATTTTCTGTGTAGAAATTTAAAGCAGTATCATACTTTAGATGAACTCAATAAAAACATTACGAACACTAACCGCAACATCTGAACTGAAATGAAATATTCTTTCGGTTGAAGAACTGTAAGCAGCATCAGACAAACTGCTCCGACGTAATAAGGGAACCACTTCCAACATGTGCTTAACTTATGGATGAGCGAATGAAAGCAATTAATTTGCTTGTTCATCTTGTCATAGTAACGCCAGAGGAAGATTAATTTTCCGTGATCCACCTTGTAGCATTCAAGGATATCTTAGTATGGCATGAGTACTCTGTTTCTAAACTTAGAGGCTAATAACACAGTTCTACAGCTCGACTCAGAGTTTTCCAGTAACTATTTCTTCTATGAGAACTCGCGCCCAGAATGATTTATTTCTGTAACGAGAAAGCAAAGAATCATAAATACCAACTATTTATGAATCTAAGCACCTAAAACCGTTTTCGAAAGTTGTACTGTATACGGACAATCTTTCCATTTGTATGAATGTGGATGTGGTTTATCTGGTGTCTGCCGAAAACATCACGGCTAAAATATGGCGGACGAAAACGTAGCGGAGACAACAACGCAGGTCGAAAACTTTGTAGAACAAAACATTGTGAGAGAAATGAAGGCAAAGAGAAAAAAATCGCAGTTCCAAAACATCGTGGTCGAAAATAAAGCGGTTCAAAAACTTCGCAGTTTAAAAATATCGTGGTGAAAAATAAAGTACACTGCTCAAAAAAAAAAAAAAAGGGGGGGCAGTGCTATATCTCCCGATCTACTGGGCCGATTGACAAAATTCAAATTGCGTTTTTCATGTCTCGAAAGCGCGACTTAGGATATATATTAGATTTATATATAGCACTATTCTAACATAGGTATTTTGACACAAAATCGGACTTTTTCTGAAATAACATACCAATTTTTTTTTCCATATTTCGATTCTACGTCTCAAATTATGCCAGAATACCAAGTTTTGTAAAAATCGTACGAGTAGTTTTTAAAAATATTAGCTCTCAAAATTTTAGCTCCTCAATGTTAATTGAATTTGGCAAATATTTATTAATATCTCTTTTTTTATTAAACTTTTTTGATTTTTTTTCTCTCACATTTTCGAAATTTAGGTTCATTCTAAATAAAATTTATCCATTTTTTGTGTTTTATTTTTTAAATTTCTATTTTTAAATAATTTTTATAAATTTTTCGAAAAAAATTTTGAATTATAACCTATAAAATTTTTACCATCATCTTAAAGTAGGTGTATTCTTAAGCATATCTGCAAAAAATTAGACTTTTTTATTCAAAATTTTCTAAGATATACACGAATTTACATATTTTCGAGTTTTGAAATTTGGCATCTTTTTTTTTGAGCGATAATAACGCCAAATGTGGTCTATGGATTTTTGTTACAGTGAATTGCCACAGCTATTTTTAACCTTAAATTTCAAGTAAGATTTTACGGAGAATTAATTATATAAAATTTTTCCCTCAATGAAGCGTAATAAATATTTATTAATGCTATATGAAAAGCTATTTTTTTAATTTATAGATGATATTATTCAAATTTTTAACTATTTTTTTAAAATTTCTCTCTATCTTCCTTTTTTTAAAAAAAATAAGAGTAAATTTTTACCTTCGGCGTTTTATCGTCTGCTACTTTACTTCGTTTAAATCGAATTGTCTAAAACTGAGAATTTTCGTTTGATATTTATTTGAATTTTATGACATTAACTGCATAATTTATTTCTAAACAAACTGTTACTTTTGAAGTGGCTGAAAGAGCGGCTGATACTATCATCCACATTTTTAAAGCACAGTATATTTTTATACTGTAGAAACATAATATTTAGAATAATCATTTTTTATAAAAGTCAAATTATGATATAAACATACAGCCCTCTAGAGACTGAATTAATGGAAAGTTCAATGGTTATGTAGAAATGATCTGCAGCTACTTAATGGCTGGATAAGTCAGCAGATTTCTGTGGACAAGTAAGAATAATTATATAAACGCCATCCCAACATTCAGGATTCAATTAACAAACGAGCATACGATGTTTATTAAATGAATTTAAGAAATTTTAAAGCATAAAAAACAACTCATTTTTATCCTAAAATGTATTTTTTTGTGCGTAGCGTATTTTCATTATATCCTTAAAATTCTAATTTAGAATGTAATTGTCAAGAACTGAATCCTAATCATCAGTAATATTATAAGTAATTATTACGGTTATTAATAAATCCTTCTTATAAAAAAAATTGCAAATATTTCAAAAAACTTTCTGTCTGAATGCAAATATTTTTCTATGCAAATATTTTAAATTTTTTATTAATCACGATTGCGCACGATATTATTTATTTGCACTTCAATTCTTACCGTCAGTTACAGTAGAAGTTACAAATCAATTATATTTAATTAAGGATTGGATTGGATTATTTAATTATGGCAAAGCACACGAGGGCTATCTGCCTAAAGGGAAAGATGCCATCGTGGAGGACTTTCTAAGGTTCTTTCTCGTATACACGTTATACATGGGGAAAACCACGAAAACGCAGATGCGGCCAGCCCGTTCGCGAGATTCGAACCTCGAACCGGACTACCAATGATCAGCGTCTTTACCGCTCGGCCGCTGGTGGGCCATTTAATTAAGGAATGACCATCTAAGTTTAGAAACAGAGTACCGTAACAGCAATTCAATTATTGGCGCCGTATCTTTCATGTTACTCCCGATTGGCAAGCTACATGATTTTTAATGAGTATTTTGGTTTTGCTAGTAACTTCCCTTGGAAATCTCGCTTAAACTAGGTTAGTTGGTTATTTGAACATAGAAAGAACATGGGAGTTATTTGATTAAGATGCTTTCATAGAGAACCTTTGTAAAGAGAACCTAGAAAACTATGAAAACCAACCATGCAGCCTGGGTTAGACTTCGCAAGAAACAACTAGTATTTAACAATCTTCAAATGCCAGGCAACTGGTGAGGCTCCAATTAAATCTCCAATTTAATATTTTATTTGTAAATATTTAAAATATTGTTGTATTCTTAGACACAAAAAGCAGAATTTAAGTTTTGTTAACTTGTTAGTAAACTACCAAGCCGTAGTGCAAATGAATATTCAATTTCTTTTGCAATAATTGTATTCACTTAATATTCTTGGAATATGAGCTAAAGAAGGAACTTTCTCGGAAGATTAAAGAAGTGTTTAAATCCAGTGATATTAGGTTTGTCTTACAGGCTCAGGATCAAAACAATTCTGCTATTGCCCGAGCTGTTGACTTGTAAATGGCTGTGAATTAAGCAGATGACTTTTAATCTTACGTTTTCAGTCAGAAAACTTATTGTTTTGTATTGCATGACAATGCTTGTTTTCATTATTCAATAATCAGTCGGAGAACCGCTTGTGTTCCGAAAATAAGTATGTGTATTGAATCGTCCTGCATGTTCTTCAAATTTGTCTTCTTATGATTCTTTCCTCTTCAAAACTAAAGGCCTCTCAAAGGAAAGTTTTTTGACATTGAAGAGACAAAAGGAGTATGACATATACTTTTATAGGCATGTCAAAAACAGATCTCTACAAGCCTTCTCTTCCATTACATGTTATGCATTCAGACAAATAGTTGCATCAGCGTAAATTCTATAATCTATTTTTTGTTACACTCTTATTACTTTATTAACATACAGTGAATATATACTAAACCTTTTACTTCAGCTTCAGTAATTCGGAATTTTTGACGGAATTGTTATCGGAACTAGGACTTAGAAGATAAGTCAAATTGAATATTTCGATAATTCAATATTTTTCATGGTCGAAGTTTCAATATTTTTTTTCGG